GCCTTTATACACAGTGCCTTGACCTCCTCGACCAAGAATTCGGTTATCGTGAAAATGGTTGGTGGCCTTCTCCAAGTCCTTGGAGGTGAAAAGTATGGTTCTATGATCAACCAAACCAGTATAAGTTGCCTCCTGTTGCTCAAGAAGTAAACCACCATTGCGTTTGTATAACCTCTCTTTTCGTCTCTTGGCCTTTGTTTTCTTGATGACTTTGTATAACACATAGCTGGTGAACGTCATGAAAAGCAATCCCATACTTATGCTAACACCTAAAACAAGCAAATATAAGGTAGAAACCCTTTAATTATCTAATGAATGTATCCATAGAAACAATTTATTGAGTTACTCCAGTGTGACAACGGTAATAAGCACTTTTGAGTGTTTGGATAAACAGCTTATACCGGTGTCAAACAAAAATGCATAAGTTATTTCAAATAAGCAATCTCAAACACCCCTGAAGTGTTACGTATGTATGGATTGCAAGATGAKAGAAGAGGTTACCTAGAATAACACCAACTGATACTTTGTTGCTTCCACTAATTGTTCCRGTTAAACAATTGAAGGCCGTATATTCGATTCGATCCATGTACGTGATCTGATAGATGCAACGACCTCCGCTAACCTCGCACCCTTTACAATTTTCAGGTACTAAAACCACATAAACATACAACAAACCAAAATCATTCATTTATTGCACACAAATAAACAAAATTTACAACAAGTAATTGCATACCTTCGCAACCACCCTCCAAATAAGGGTTTCCGTATCTTCCTACACCACAGTCACACTTACGAGACTTCACCCTAGTCTCTTTACTCACATCCAAACTTAGACTCGTGTCGAACACCGAACAACCTTTTAGGTCATCGTAGTCGCGGTCTGTTAGGGTCCACAAAAACCCTATTGGAACGGAAGCGCCATTCCCGGGAATAGATCGGAGAGAGAAGTTTTTTCCAATTACTAAATTATCATCCATCAACAAGGCAGACCTACAAACTTCATATCCACCCTGGCTTTCTAAGCATGTGAGATTCAAGGTGAAGGACTCGAGATAATGAGGGATTGTGGTTTGGCAGCAACCGGTGCCGAAGCACTTATTTATGTCGCCAACAGTGTCGTTGCGACAAGTCGATGAACATCCGTTGAGAATAGTTCCATCGTGCGTGATGACAGCATTGCCACAACCCTCAACGACTAATTTGTTATGCACTTTGCATAATAGGAAGGGACTGTCACCATGGTTGGTATTAAGGATATTACTGCTATTCAGGACTGGATTACGTCGATCAGCGATCATTGGGACATTAATAACAACCATTTGTATTTCTAAGTTCACCCACAACACCTCCATGTTGTTGAATGCAGACAGATAAGGTGTCGAGTGGGTACAATCAACATTATACCATTCGTTGATVGAACAATCTGCTCMGATTCCAAAAGGGTATGGAATCGRAACCTCCCCACACGTATCTTTGCATCCTTTCTTGGCATAACTAAGAGCTTCTGTGAATGATGTTGTTAACAGAACCAAGACGACTAAATGCAAAACTTGAAACTGCTTCATCTTTTTGACAACCATGATTGAAGGCAAAAAACATATAAAACATTTAAACCCAGATGAAATTTATGCCCAAATGTACCGCGTGATTTGATTAATCTATGGAGAAATTTCAAAACTGGGTCGGTTTTGATTAAAATATTTAAACCCAGATGAATTTGTAGGTATCAAATCCTTACCTAAGACTCTGTGGTAGAATAGTCTTCGGATAGATAGTATGTGGAATTGTGTTATGCCACGTACGACGAAGAAGAAAGTTTTTCTTTTGGATAATTGAGGCATTCAGGGTTGTATATTACCCTTCAATTCCCTCGTGGTTACACTTACGGATGGTGAAAACTGAAAACCGAAACTTTTGGGCCAGGTTTGGGGATATCTTATTGGAGATGGGGCGGAGATCGGGGATGAATTCGGGGATTTTAACGGGGACGGGGACGAGCACTGGCCGGGCCCAACCCGATATGTATATATATATATATATATATATAATATCATTAAAAAAAATAGTAACATTATAATTTAAACGACTTTTATTAATTTACCTCAACAACCCAAATAAAACTCACGAAAAAGTCTAGTTTATTTGTTTAAAATCGTGATTTTAGTTGTATGATGTTTGAATTTTTGTTTAGTTTTATATTATAATTTAATACATTGTTTATAATTGGTTCGATTATGTCTGAGACATTTAAACTTACATCTTTAAAAAAATTGTAATTTACTTTTAATTGTGAAAATTAGCATATTGTAATTTTTCCAGATCGTTTTCGGGTTTCGGTTTCGAGTTCGGGTTCGGTTATAACCAACGGTGAAAAAGAGGATTTTTACCCTTAACGGGATCCCCGATAAGATCCCCGACGGAGATCGGGGCGGTTACGGGGACGGTTTTAGCTATCGGTTTCAGGGATGGGGATACCAATACCCGGCCCGTTGCCCATTCCTAGTTGCACTTGACATCTGTTTGGTTTGGCCCCAAACCCGGTGAGTAGGTTGCAAGGTAACTAAGAGTGTTCACACCAACTTGCATGTATCTCGACTACGTCCTGAAATTAATAGTTAGACAAACCTTTAGTGTCCTAAGGAGGAGTCGAACCAAAGAGTAAACCCAAGACCTTCTCGGTCCTCGTGGGTGTTTATGCTATAGCTAGGCTAGTTGGGTATCTAGTTACACACATACAGTAGATCAGTTGAGTGTAATACAAGAGAGAAATAATATTTTATTAAGTATATTGAATATTTTAATAATATAATTAATGTTAGGATTCTTAAAATAGAGTAGTCGTTGGAGTCGTATATAATTTTTTAAGAGATTTTTAGAAAAAATATAACATATGTTGGAGATGTTCTTAGCTTGCCGTTTGCATATAAAACTTCGGGAGTGTTCAATTCTAAGAGCATCTCCAACAACTTCTTTAAAATAGAGAAAATCAACTTTTTGTTCTCTATAATACTCCAACAGCTTCTTATCTTATTCTCTAAAATAGAGAATCATGGATAAATTAAACTCCCAACACAGAGAACTCTTTGAAACTCTGAAAAGGGGATATAAAAATGAGTTATTTTCTTTATTTCACCAATGAGGGTTAAATTAATATCATTTTATATTAAGTTTTTTTAAAGTGTATTGGAATCACAAAATTATAATATATTTCAATAATATAATTAATAATAAAATCTCCAAAATAAATAGAGCTGAATGTGTAACACCCCATACTCCACATTTGCATAAAACACATATTTCATTACATAGAAACATGGATTACATCAAAAGGTCCCACTAGTACATGGATTGCTATATGTACAAAATCTACATATAAAAATTCCAAAACTAATCCTGTACTACTACATGAATTACAACATGTATCTTCAAAAGCAGGA